CTACCATCATCCTGGTTCAATACGACTGCTACCATCATCCTGGTTCATACTGACTGCACCATCATCCTTGTTCATACTGACTGCACCATCATCCTGGTTCATAGTGACTGCTATCCCTACCATCATCCAGGATCAAACAGACTGCTACCAATCATCCTGGTTTCATACTGACGCTTCCATCATCTGGTTCATATGACTGCTACATCATCCTGGATCATATTGACTGCTACCATCAACCTGGTTCAAACTGACTTGCTACCATCATCCTGGTTCATACTGACTGCTACCATCATCCTGTTCATAACGACTGCTACCATCAACCGAGGGTCCATACTGACTGCTACCAACCTCCTGGTTCATACCTGACTGCTACCATCATCCTGGTTCATACTGATTACTACCATCCTCCTGGTTATCATACTGACTGCTAACCACATCCTGGTTCATACTGACTGCTACCACTTCCTGGTCATACTGACTGCAACCATCATCCTGGTTTCATACTGACTGCTACATCAACCTGTCATACACGACTGCTACCATCACATCCTGTTTCTTTCAGGTACATTGTGTTGTATTGTGAGTTTCTCCACACTACAAGAAATGAATACCTGCAATATGCAATATATAATATGCCATGAAGCTAAATATCTATGTTGCTGGGTAGTAATGTTCTAATGATGTTCATATTGTTCAATTTGATATTATAAAAAAAATTACACAATAATCACAGTTATTAAACAGAATAATATCATTACTGTATACCTAGAGTAAACCTGGATATTTTTTCGGGGGTCAACGCGCCCCCTCTCTGACTGAGACCAGATTCTGTGGTAGATCAGGTCTGATCAACCAGGCTGTTACTGGCTGGCCACATGGCAAACTGACGTACGAAGCCACATCCAGACTTTTGCCTGGCCAGTGCTTTTTGAAGGCTACTAGGGGTCTATTCTAAATCCCCCTTATGTCTGCTGGGAGCAGTGAACAGTATTGAGTCCCGGACACTTATTGATGCTTGTCTTTCAGTGTCGTCCGTGCGCCCCTGCTTTTCATTGAGGGAATGTTGCGTCTCCTGCCGAGTCAATTGCCTTCATAGGGTCAGTGATTTTTTCGAGAGCAAGTTTGGAATTAATCCCTCCTCGATTTTCCAATAATTATATATTATTCAACGTATCTCTCTCGCCTTCATCCAGAGAATACATATCAACCGCCTCCAGTAATTTTGTTGCATTATCGTACTTATGTGTTATGTGAAAGGTCTTTGTTTCACTGTCCTGGTCAGTAATTTCCGCCTGCCCTTGAAGGGGGCAGTGAATGTACAGCAGCATTCCAGCTATATAGACACAAGCGGATATGAAAGAGTGTGATCATGGGCATGGCAGCCCAAGTTTTGAGGTTCTCAATTTAACCACCATCCCAATCATTTTCCTAGCAGATGCGGCAGATACATTGTTGTGGACTTTGAAGTGAGATCCTCTGATATCATCACTCCCAGGTCCTACACAATTACTTTTCCCGCACTATTATATGGTTAGAATTTGTGTATAACCATGATACAATTTAAATTTCCTCAAGTTTTCCATATCTGAGTAGTTATATTTCTTTTCTCTTCATTGAAACTTCAAATTTTGTACTTGAAGAAGGCCCATTTGAAGATTTGGTTGATGTCTTGCAAGTGGTCTTCGTTAGAGGACACTGTTATAGCAATTCGGGTGTCATCTGCAGAGGAATACATGGAGCTATGACTTACATCTCTGTCGCATCAGATATGAGATGAGAATGAATGGGAGTGGAGTACTGCACCTTGTGGAACGAAGTTATTCACGCGTCTGCTGCCTCAACTTTACTCTGTTTTACTATAATTGCTTTGTGGTTCTATTTGTCATGAAGTTATAGATCCATCTACCAACTTTTCCATTATTCACTTTATCACACGCATTTTGTGTGCTTTAACTCATAGTCACACTCGTCTATGGATTTGCAAAATCTTGCTATCCTTCATCAGCATTGTTACAATCCCTATATCATCCAGCACCTTGTGCCCTGGGTTGTGTAACTGATTGGTGTCAGGTGGTTGCTATCTTGCTTCTTATAATCCTTCAAAGATTTTTAAATATTGGACGTTAGTGCTATCAGTCTGTAGTTCTTATGCAATTGCTTTACAGCCACCTTGTGGAGTGAGCTATGTCTGATGTTTTTAGTGTTGTGTGATGACCCAGTGTCCTATGCCTTCTCTCCATAGAATGCTGAAGACACGCTATATGGGGCTTCTTGCAGTTCTGATGAAAAAAACGGGCCTGAAGCAGAGTGCATGGCAATGCCATTATATTGAATTTTTCGAAAGTCTTGTGGCGTTGGATAATATCAGAGATTTTTGAGAAAAAACCAAATTTTTGGGTCTCTGTCATAAAGAAAACATTTTGAATAGTCGACCCTTAGTCTGAGTAAGGGCTCGCTTGAACGGAGACGTAATGGGACTTTTAGTATTTCACTGATTTTCTATTCTGTCATCTCTGTAAATGCCCCAGTCTCGCCTAAGCAGAAGGCTCATACTGGATGTTTTTCTCCAGAATAGGGTAAGATTAAAGTATTTTGTTTTTTATCAATTTCCGTTATGGCTTTAAAGTTTTTCTGAGATTCTTGTCTCCTGTAAGATCTTCAGCTTAAGTTCGAATATTGCTATTTTCCATTACCAGAGTGCCTCCCTGTCAGATATATGTATTGAGCCACTCTCAGCAGCTCTTTGATCCTCGCCTTCGTCGTATAGGGAGGCAATCTCTCTCTTTTCTAGTTTTACATCTTATCTTTCCTTTTCTAAAGGAATGGTTGTCTTGAGAGAATCTAAAGAACTAAGGGAGTAATTTCTTCTTTCATTAGTCTGCTTCCCAATAATTTCTGTTTCCTAGTTCAGTTAGGGTAAAGTGGACCCTTTGCTTCAGGCTTATTGAAGGTCAGTCACTAGACACGCCACTCTACTAGCACCCACAAAACACAGGGGTACATGCAAGAGGTTGGCCTGCAGCGTGAAGCTCAGATTGTCGAGCCACAGTAGTCCTCTCACTTAGTCTTCATATAACTGATCACTATAGCCACTTAGTGCACTACCAAGATATGTCTTTTATTGCTCAGATATTCACACTTCTTCCTTATTGTATGGACATAGCTTTATTACAGGCAACATCAACAGTACCCGAGGAGGATAAACACTGGCTGCTATTTCCTCTTGCTTGCTTGTTTTCATCTTTTTTTTTATTTTAGATGTCATACTTATTATGACATCTAAAATAAAATTGTATGATTTGTTTATGGATGACTTGCTACACTAGCCTGACTTAGCTCTTAACTCTGCTTGGAGACACACCTTGTTCTGTTGGTATTTGTAATTATGTGAATTATTGCAACTCCAGCCTGGCACCATGCCAGCTGCTACTTTCCTAAGATCTGATTGCCGAAAAATCCTTGGTCACCTGGCCACGGTGGCCCGTGGCCTGGTGGCTAAAGCTCTCGTTCTTCACAAGGCGAGGATCTGGGATCGATTCCGGCAAGGGAAACCATTTGGTGTGTATTCTTTACACTTGTTGTCTATGTTTCCTTACTCAGTAAAAAAGATACCTAGGCGTTAGTCAACTGTGTGGGTGGGCATCCTGGGTGTTAGTCAGCTGGTAGTGGGTCGCATCCTGGGAACAAAACAGACCTAAATTGTCCCGAAATGCTCCTGCATAATAAAGGGCTTTCTATATTTTAGTATGTCAATTGATGTCAGCTATGGGTCTGTATACTACCTTGTACATGTACTTGTATAAATAAAGAAATTAGTATTATTATAATTATTATTATTATTATTATTATTATTATTATTATTATTATTATTATTAATTATAGAGTGACGTAGGACGGACATGCCAGTGTAACAATGACTGATGAAAGGACACACCAGTATATGATGGGTATTGTGTTTACAATACTGGGTAATGAACTATGCTGCTGCTGCTGCTGCTGTGTTCTGTTCTATGACAATTACGTAATAAGAAGAAGAGCTATCAAATGTTTCCTCCTATTCTCCATCACACAGGATGGTGTTCCTACACCAGGTGATAAAATAGGTTGATCCAGGAGACATAAGTAGGGTGATCAAGGACATCATTAAGTACATTATTAGATATTTAGCAGTTATGGAAGCTAGCAAGACTTCATGTCAGAAGACCTGGAATGAACCCAGAAGACCTAGGTTCCTGTTGGCATTATCAATGTTATTCTAGAGACTATCTTCTCTCACTCTTTCTCAACCTCTTTCCATCTCTATTTTTCTTCCTCCCACTCTTCTTACCAGGACTCAGGTTGAAGCTCCTTACTTCCAGGACTCAGGATGAGGCTCCTTCCCTGCAGGACTCAGGTTGAAGCTCCTTACTTCCAGGACTCAGGATGAGGCTCCTTCCTTGCAGGACTCAGGTTGAAGCTCCTTCTTACCAGGACTCAGTTTGAAGCACCTTCCTTCATGGACGTCTGGATGAGGCCTCCTTCCTTCCAGATCTCAGAAAGAAGACTCCTTCACTTCCAGGACACAGGATGAAGCTCCTTCCTTCCAGGCCAACAGGATGAAGGCTCTTTTCCTTCCAGTACTCGTATTGACGCTGCTTTCCTTCAGGACTCAGGTTAAGCCCTTACTTCCAGGACCAGGTTGAAGCTCATACTTCCAGGACTCAGGTTTGAACTCCCAATACATCCCCAGACTCAGTGAAGCTCCATATACTTCCAGGACTCAGGTTGAAGCTCCTTACTTCCAGGACTCAGGTTGAAGCTCCATACTTCCAGGACTCAGGTTGAAGCTCCTTACTTCCAGGACTCAGCTTGAAGCTCCATACTTCCAGGACTCAGGTTGAAGCTCCATGCTTCCAGGACTCTGGTTGAAGCTCCTTACTTCCAGGACTCAGGTTGAAGCTCCTTACTTCCAGGACTCAGGTTGAAGCTCCATACTTCCAGGACTCAGGTTGAAGCTCCATACTTCAAGGACTCAGGTTTGACGCTCTATACTTTCCAGGACTCAGGTGAAGCTCCATACGTACAAGGACTCAGGTTGAGGCTCTATACTTCCAGGAATCAGGTTGAAGCTCCATACTTCCAGGACTCAGGTTGAAGCTCCATACTTCCAGGACTCAGGTTGAAGCTCCATACTTCCAGGACTCAGGTTGAAGCTCCATACTTCAAGGACTCAGGTTGAAGCTCTATACTTCCAGGACTCAGGTTGAAGCTCCATACTTCCAGGACTCAGGTTGAAGCTCCATACTTCCAGGACTCAGGTTGAAGCTCCATACTTCCAGGACTCAGGTTGAAGCTCCATACTTCAAGGACTCAGGTTGAGGCTCTATACTTCCAGGAATCAGGTTGAAGCTCCATACTTCCAGGACTCAGGTTGAAGCTCCATACTTCCAGGACTCAGGTTGAAGCTCCATACTTCCAGGACTCAGGTTGAAGCTCCATACTTCCACTAGTACACCTTCACATTACAATCAAACTTTAAAAGGATTGGAAAAAATAACTTTACTAAATGCAAATTTATTCAGATTAATACATGAAATATGAAAGACATGAAGTGCTGGAGGTGAAGTGAGAAGTGAAGTGAGAGGTGCGTTATAGCTGCTATGTTAGTGTTACACAGATCAAGTGAAGCGATAAGCGAAGTGGTAATAGTTACACAGATGAAGGCAACATTCCTGACTGACACAGGATGTGTTACAGCGGCTGTGGCAGAGTGACACAGATGAAGTTACATTGCTGACTGACACAGGATGTGTTACAGCGGTTGTGGCAGAGTTACACAGATGAAGGCAACATTCCTGACTGACACAGGATGTGTTACAGCGGCTGTGGCAGAGTACACAGAATGAAGGGTAAACATCTGACTGACCACAGGATGTGTTACAGCTGCTGTGGCTAGAGTGACAAACAGATAAAGGGCAACATTCCAGACAGACACAGGATGTGATACAGCGGCTGTGCAGAGTTACACAGATTAAGTGCAACATTCCTGACTGACACAGGATGTGTTACAGCGGCTGTGGCAGAGTTACACAGATGAAGGCAACATTCCTGACTGACACAGGATGTGTTACAGCGGCTGTGGCAGAGTTACACAGATGAAGGCAACATTCCTGACTGACACAGGATGTGTTACAGCGGCTGTGGCAGAGAGACACAGATGAAGGTAACATTCCTGACTGACACAGGATGTGTTACAGCGGCTGTGGCAGAGTTACACAGATGAAGGCAACATTCCAGACTGACACATGATGCCACTACTGTTTCTCATCTCTAAAATTTGATGTAATCATTAAAGGATTATTTAGTAATATTCGTTGCTTGATATTTATGTGAAGTTCTTCACCAAATTTCCTTTCAGAGTTTCTGTTTTTTTCTCATTACTCAATTTAATTTTCATTTATTTTCATTATTACTTCATTTATCTTGAACGAAATGGAGTGACGAACATGAACATGAACAGGTAGTGGGCATCATGGTCGTTAACAGGTAGAGGGCATCATGGTCGTCAACAGGTAGTGGGCATCACGGTCGTCAACAGGTAGAGGGCATCACGGTCGTCAACAGGTAGTGGGCATCACGGTCGTCAACAGGTAGTGGGCATCACGGTCGTCAACAGGTAGTGGGCATCACGGTCGTCAACAAGTATGGGCATTCAACGGTCGTCAACAGGTCGAGGGCAATCACGGTCGTCAACCAGGTAGAGGGCATCACGGGTCCGTCCACAGGTAAGGCATCACGGTCGACAACAGGTAGAGGGCATCACGGTCGTCAACAGGTAGAGGGCATCATGGTCGTCCAACCGGTAGAAGGGCACAACGGTCGACAACAGGTAGAGGCATACGAGTCGTCACAGGCGTAAGGGCATCACGGTCGTCAACAGGTAGTGGGCATCACGGTCGTCAACAGGTAGTGGGCATCACGGTCGTCAACAGGTAGTGGGCATCACGGTCGTCAACAGGTAGTGGGCATCACGGTCGTCAACAGGTAGTGCATCACGGTTCGTCAACAGGTAGTGGGCATCACGGTCGTCAACAGGTAGTGGGCATCACGGTCGTCAACAGGTAGTGGGCATCACGGTCAACACATACCTCCTGTAAAGATGTTATGAGAAATTCCTTTGAGTAACTATTAGGATAAACTTTATAAATCATAGACGTTGTTAGTCTAGGGGAGTTTTTATGGAGAATTATTCTCTAGTAATATCGTAATAACGTTGTAAGGAGATGGAAAAACTTTGTAAAATGTATCGTTAATATAAAGTAGATATTGTTATAGACTTGTGGTATTTTGTTGTACCTTTTTCTTAATTATATATAAACAGACTTTATATACCACTTATAAATTAAGAAGACCTTCATTCTTAGCTGAATGAACCTTTAATATTCAGTTGATCAAAAAGTTACATCAACCTCTATTTTCTAAGTTCATTATGATGTTGACTTAGAAAACTTGAAGTTTCTACACACGAGAACTTCTGTACAATGAAAATTCCACAATTTCTGGTGACTTAAGTGAATAAAGTTCTAGACCAAATGCTTCACCGTTTAGGTTAACAGTAGTGAGCCGTGGAGACCTTCACTATACCGAGAGTGACGCTCTACTGTCTGCTCTACTACACTCACCTCTGACGTAAGCTGGCGTCAGGCGAGTAGTAACACTCACCTCTGACGTAAGCTGGCGTCAGGCGAGTAGTAACACTCACCTCTGACGTAAGCTGGCGTCAGGCGAGTAGTAACACTCACCTCTGACGTAAGCTCGCGTCAGGCGAGTAGTAACACTCACCTCTGACGTAAGCTCGCGTCAGGCGAGTAGTAACACTAACCTCTGACGTAAGCTAACGTCAAGTGAGTAGTAACACTCACCTCTGACGTAATCTCACGTCAGGCGAGTAGTAACACTAACCTCTGACGTAAGCTCGCGTCAGGCGAGTAGTAACACTAACCTCTGACGTAAACTTACGTCAAGTGAGTACTAACACTCACCTCTGACGTAATCTCACGTCAGGCGAGTAGTAACACTAACCTCTGACGTAAACTTACGTCAAGTGAGTAGTAACACTAACCTCTGACGTAAACTTACGTCAAGTGAGTAGTAACACTCACCTCTGATGTAAGCTCACGTCAGGCGAGTAGTAACACTCACCTCTGACGTAAGCTCACATCAGGCGGGTAGTAACACTCACATCTGACGTAAGCTCTCTTCAGGCGAGTAGTAACACTCACCTCTGACGTAAGCTCGCGTCAGGCGAGTAGTAACACTCACCTCTGACGTAAGCTCACATCAGGCGGGCAGTAACACTCACATCTGACGTAAGCTCTCTTCAGGCGAGTAGTAACACTCACCTCTGACGTAAGCTCACGTCAGGCGAGTAGTAACACTCACCTCTGACGTAAGCTCACTTCAGGCGAGTAGTAACACTCACCTCTGATGTAAGCTCGCGTCAGGCGAGTAGTAACACTCACCTCTGACGTAAGCTCACATCAGGCGGGTAGTAACACTCACCTCTGACGTAAGCTCACATAAGGCGGGTAGTAACACTCACCTCCGAAGTAAGCTCTCTTCAGGCGAGTAGTAACACTCACCTCTGACGTAAGCTCTCTTCAGGCGAGTAGTAACACTCACCTCTGACGTATGCTCACGTCAGGAGAGTAGTGACACTCACCTCTCACGAAAGCTCTCGTCAGGCGAGTAGTAACACTCACCTCTGATGTAAGCTCGCTTCAGGCGAGTAGAAACACTCACCTCTCATGTAAGCTGGCGTAAGGCGAGTAGTAACACTCACCTCTGACGTAAGCTCGCGTCAGGCGAGTAGTAACACTCACCTCTGACGTAAGCTTACTTCAGGCGAGTAGTAACACTCACCTCTGACATAAGCTCGCGTCAGACGAGTAGTAACACTCCCCTCTGACGTAAGCTCACTTCAGGCGAATAGTAACACTCACCTCTGACGTAAGCTCACTTCAGGCGAGTAGTAAGACTCACCTCTGATGAAAGCTCACTTCAGGCGAGTAGTAACACTCACCTCTGACGTAAGCTCACGTCAGGCGAGTAGTAACACTCACCTGTGTCGTTAGCTCGCGTCAGGCGAGTAGTAACACTCACCTCTGACGTAAGCTCACGTCAGGCGAGTAGTAACACTCACCTCTGACGTTAGCTCGCGTCAGACGAGTAGTAACACTCACATCTGAGGTAAGCTCACTTCAGGCGAGTAGTAACACTCACCTCTGACGTAAACTCGCGTCAGGCGAGTAGTAACACTCACCTCTGATGAAAGCTCACTTCAGGCGAGTAGTAACACTCACCTCTGATGTAAGCTCACTTCAGACGAGTAGTAACACTCACCTCTTGTGGCATGCAAAGAGTACGTAACCTTTATTCGGCGCATGGACACGCCCTCATTTACAGGCTATCTCCCCCAACCAGCGAACCAGGTTGCTAAGAGTTGATGATGGGGCCCCATCGTTCAACTAGTGACCAGGTTCTAGCCAATAAGAAGGTGGGATTGACAATCGCAGAGGTTATGTGGATACCGCTCTCCTGTCTGCCCTTGTCATTCCCATTCTAGAGCTGGTTGAAGACGGCTGCTAT